TTACAAAGTGAGTTGTGGTAATCAACCAGAATGAGGCTGCATGTGTGCGTGCCCAGCACCGTGCCCCCCTCATGGATGCTCAACTCGTGTTCTTGGCTTGGGAAAGGAATGCCAGTCTCAGAAGAAGTCCTAAGAATGGTAACTCTAGAAATTAGCACTTTAAGGTTCACTGAAGTGCTTTTGCCCATCGTGAATCCTTTTCTGGTCTTATGGTGAAGTAGAAAATAGTCTAAAACTAGAAAAGGCTTCCTATATGCCTTTCTTAATTAAGTAATCAAATTTGTTTGTAAATGCATCAAAGATGTTAGTATACCCATTTTGTAAATAAGGAAATCATTGACCTAAACGAAGGTGTTAGGTCATTTCCCCAGGGTCACACCAAAGTGATGAGCACGATTCCCAAAGAGGCTTCACTGCTAAAGAGAGTTAAAATGCTACCATGACATTCTTGTGGTGGTGGTGGTGGTGTGTGTATTCAAGGCCAAGATTATGTGCCTACCAGATTACATGCCTACATATCAGTGCCTATCAGATTACGTGCATACAAGATTACGTGCCTACGTATCAGTAAAAGGTCAGAAAACCGTAGAGGTTCAATGTAAGGAACATCATACCTATCAAAATATTATAGAGGCTTTGGAGAAATAAGTGAATTTACAAAGAAATCAAATATTAAATCTATTTAATAATTTATCTTTGGGTTTTGATACTTGTATTTTATAAACTCGCTTTTAAAACTTCTAAATGAGGCAGATCTCTCTTTTTTTCAGCAGAATAACAATCTTAAGCAACCCATTACCTTCCTGTTGTCTGTTAGAGTAGCTCAGGGCTGTTGGGCTGCACAGGGCAGAGCAGTAGGATCACTGGGAGTACAAGGTGAGCTGGGCTCTGGTGGACTCCGAGCAGGCAAACAGAAGAAAGCATCTTGGGCTCTGGGCTCCAGGAATACCTGTCCCTATAATAAGGGGAGGAGGGGATGGCATTCTGCACAGTAGAAGGACATTAATGTAAACCTTGTAGGATTTGTCACACCATTGAAGAAAGGCTAAAACTTAATGTCTGGCTTAATTCTCTTTTCCTAAGAAGAGAAAAAGGGTAATTCCAACCACCATGATGACGACCTTTTTTTAAAAAAGATCTTTCCTCTCCAGTTGAGAAAAATTTCCTCCTGTCCAATCACAGGGGGAAAAAACTCCTGTATTAACACCGAAATGCTGTGAGATTTTAAGTTGAGAGGTGAGGCAGAGTTTATTTTAGTCTTTCAAGGTTATATCTATAAGAGACCTGATAGAGCCCCACATTTAATAGAGTCTGGGGAAAGTAAGGCTCTTTTTAATGGAATTTTTGCTGTACTTTATCAGAAGTATTTGCTACATTCCAAAACTAGAAGACAGATGTTTATCCAGCTTGGGGTGATTACGAATAGAGCTGCTATAATCGTTTTTGTGCAGGTTTTGTATGAACATAAGTTGTAATTTCTCTGAAGACCCAGAAGTGGAATTGATGGGTTATATGCATGTATATTAAGCTTTATAAGAAGTCAAATAGGCCAGCTGGTTTTTTCCAGTGCGGCTACACCATTGTGCATTCTCACTGGCAACCTGTGAGGGTTGCAGGTGCTCCCCATGTGTGCCAGCATGGTATTGGGTTTTTTTCAAATGACTTTAATAGGGATAGAATGATACCTCACTGTAGTTCTAAGTCCCATTGTCCGACTAGCCCGTGATGTTAACTCTCCATGGGCTTATTTGCCATATGTGTATCCCCTTTGGTGAAATGTTGGTTCAGGTCTTTGGCCATTTTTTAATTAGGTTGGCTGTTTTCTTACTATTGACTTTCAGAAGTTTTTATACATTGTGAATACAGTCCTTTTGTCAGATGTATAATTTGCATATATCTCCTCCCAGTCTGTAGCTTGCCTCCATTCTCCTAACAGTGCAGATTGTTTTAATTTTTAAGAAGTCCCAACTTCTCCCTCCCTCCCTTCCTTCCTTCCTTCCTTCCTTCCTTCCTTCCTTCCTTCCTTCCTTCTTTCTTTCCTTCTTTTTTTCTTCTTTCTCTCCTCTCTTTCTCTTTCTCTGTTTCTTTTTCCTTTTTTTTCCTTTCTCTTCTTTTCCTTCTTTCTTTTTTTGATCATGCTTTTCACATCATAGGTAAAAACTCTTCACCTAATTCTAGGTAACAGATACTGTTTATTTTCTTCTGTTTTCTTCTTAAAAGTTTTCTGTTCTATACTGTATGTTTAGATCCATGATCCATTCTGAGTTAAGTTTAGACTAAGGGGTGCCTGGGGTGGCTCAGTGGGTTAAGCCTCTCCCTTCAGCTGAGGTCATGATCTGGGATCAAGCCCTGCATCAGGCTCTCTGCTCAGCAGGGAGCCTGCTTCCCCGCCCCCCACCCCCCCCCCGCTTTCCTCTCTGCCTACTTGTGGTCTCTCTCTCTGTCAAATAAGTAAATAAAATGTTTTAAAAAAAAAAAGTTTAGAATAAGACACAAGGTTTACACAGAATTTTGTTTTCCTCTTGACATCCAGTTGTTCCAGCACCATTTGTAAAGACTATTATTTCTCTATTGAATTACTTTTGCACATTTGTCAAAAATCAATTCTTCATATTTCTGTGGCTCTATTTCTGGAGTCTGTATTCTCTTACATTGATCTGTGTGTCTGTCTCTTACCAGTACCACACTGTCTTGATTACTGTAGCTTTATAGTAAGTCCTAAATCAGAAAGTGTGATTCTGTCAACTTTATTCTTACTTGTCAGTTATGTGTTTGGCAATTTTAGTTCTTTGGCCTTGCCACATACTTTGAGAATCAACTTCTCTGGATCTACCAAGAAGAATCCTGCTGGAATGTTTAGAATTGCATTGTCTCTGTAAACCAATCTGGGGACAACCAACGTTCCTTTTTTTTAGGAGTCTTTCAATTCGTGAACACAGAATGTCTTTCTCTGTTTAGGTCTTTAAGATTTTCAGCAGTGTCTTGGAGTGTTGGTTTCTTTCTTTCTTATCTCTGTGCCATTTTTTCCCACCACTGGCTGGGACTTCTAGTACATAATGTTGAGTTGGAGTGTTGAGAGTAGGCATCCTTGCATTGTTCCCTATCTCAGAAATTATTTAGTCTTCCACCACTGAGTATAATGTTATCTGTAGGTATTTCTGTAGACGCCCTTTTCGGGTTGAGAAAGTTTCCTTCTGTCCCTAGTTTTCTGAGAATTTGTACATAATGAATAGAAGTTGGATTTCATCAGGTGTTTTTACTGTACCACTTGAGAGGATCATGTGTTGTTTCTTCTTTAGGCTGTTAAACTGAAGGAATTGTGTAAGGGCTGGGGAGGGAGAGAATGCAGAAGAGAAAAAGGAGAATGGAAGATTTTTCCCCATGTGCTCTGAGCATCCTAAGATCCCTTTCCTGAGCCAGGCTTCCTTCTCATAGAGCCCTCCGTCCATGCTGATGTCTGCTCCTAGATACCAGGGTGCATTGAGTCCATTTTGGGGGATCACAGAGGGGAAACTGGTGAATTCACTGCTGGTTGGCGGTAGTTTACCTTCTTCCCCAGACCCTCCAGCTGCTACCTTTCAGAGCTAATAAACGGCTGCTGCATGTCTTTTGTCCTTGTCTGATGGCCACATCAGTGGGGGAGACCCGGGTACGCTGTGCTTGCTTCCTCTCACCTGTAGTTAACCGAGCTTTGCTGCCTTCTCCACAGTCTGCAGGCACATTAGTAGACTGACTTGCCGAAGTATATAATCTGTACATTTGAAGAGTTAATGCGAATTTGAGGTTGCAAGATGAATTTAGGTATCATAGTTACTAAATAGTATTTTCTAAGTTAAGTGTAAGCAATAATCAATGTCAGTGAGAGGTACATAAAACCAAATTAGAAGAGTATTTTAAATTGATCTGTTTCCTCGGAATTGATCTCTGACTTATTTTATTGTCATGTGTCTTGGGGCCCGGGTCGAGGTTTCTGCTGGAGGCCTGGGGGTGGGGCACGAAGGGGTGATGGGGAGGCATATCCGGGACTGAGCGGAGCTGTGGAAGTGTCAGGTTACTGAGAAAACCGTCCACACCATACAGAAGAAGAGAGGAAAAACGGAGGGTGGAGGGGTGGTGGGGCCGTGGCGTGAGACCTTTGGTCTGAGAAGCAGAGCAGGAAAGCCTGAACCAGGCTGAGTAGGCTGCCAAATGCCAGGAAGAAAGAAGTTTCAAGGGCATGTAGTCCCCGCGGGGAGGCGGCTTTGAGAACATGGATGGGGGGGCAGTGCCCTCGTTGTGTTGTATGAGGACCTTGGAGGGCTGTTTCAACCAACCAGTAAGGAAATGGAGGAACAAGAAAAATAGGAATAATAACAGGATACTGTTTTACTTACAGGTTTTAACTCTGTTTGATTTTAAATTTATAGGCCATGGGGCAGGTTAATAACATCTTTATTACCCATGACGCTGCATATTGCAAACATGCGGTGAAGATTTTTACTCATTTGAATGACACCCCATTACCAGCGGTGTCTGCACACCGAGGTCTGGTTATTGACGAGCAGAGACTGTGGGGTGAGGCAGGAGAAATGTCCTGTTGGAGAGTTGTCCTTGGTTCTTAAACTCTAACGGAGTCTCCTTTGCTCCCTTGTTGCATGTGTTCCTTGTAGCCCACTCACTTCCAAAGCTAACTCTGAGGCAGCTAGCAGGTGGCTACGGTAAGGTATAATAGTAATCTTTAGGATGTCTTCCCTCAGACAGTAGACTTTTTTTTTTTTTTTTAATTAAAGAACTAAGAGATATATTGCTGATTCCTTCATTCTTGTTTTTTTGGAAGAGAGGATATAATCTTTTCTGGCTGCCCTATTCTCTGTTTGTCTTGAATTACTTTAACTTGTTTTTCTTTATTCCGTAATACTGGTTTAGGGGCACCTAAGAAATACTGCACACGATGTTTATTTGAAATGAGGAATTGCTGCTTCTTAAACCTGCAATGTTTATGTATTTTTCCCTTTTCCCAGGATCAGAATTCAGGCTGTAAATGAAATCGGAGCTGGACCGTTTAGTCAATTCATTAGGGCAAAAACTCGGCCATTACCCCCCTTGCCTCCAAGGCTCGAATGTGCTGCAGCAGGGCCCCAGAGCCTGAAGCTGAAATGGGGAGACAGTAACACCAAGGCACACGCAGCCGACGACCTGGTGTACACACTGCAGCTGGAGGACAGAAACAAGAGGTGAGATGGCAGGGAGGGCACACGGGACAGTTCTGTGCTTTGGCCTGAGGAACGAATCCTTGCTCGTTTGTCGGTCCTCCTGCTTGAAAGATTTCCTGTGTGTTGGGGTCCTACATTTTGTACGGTCCATCCTCCATTGAGAATTTTCTAAACTAACATTCTGAAGCCCCTGACTTGCTGCATGTGATAATCTATGTGTTTATTTTTTTCTTTCATAAAGCCAGATAATGCAGAGAAATTATCTAAAAAGAAAACTGCCAAAGTCAAGTCCATGCTGTGTTAGAGTGTTCTATTAGTCACAAGCGCAAAGGGAAATAAGACTCAGGAAGAGATGTTAGCTTTTTAAATATTCAGTGACCGTCGGGACAAATGTGTTTACCAATCTGAAATAGCTGTGGTACAGATGTGTACAGATGGGGATCGTGCTCTGTAACTATGGGCAGTGCAGGATGAAATTAACCACAGCAAGCAGGAGATTCTTCATAAGACTGCACACCCAGGAAATACTCTCGGCCACAGAAATCAAGTCTAGCCTTTCGCGTCGTATTTGTTTAGCCTAATTTCATTTCCTCTGAAAATGGCCGGTCAGAAGATGGGCCTCTGAACTGTATTTAGGAATAATTCAGATGCAGAGTAAAGGTAATGATGACAGAATATTCTGTGACCAAAAGTCCAGATCAGAGAATCAGGTGAAGGAGGTGGGGAGGGGGGCATAAATCCAAGACATCCAGATGGACAGGTACGTGCTGCTACTTCCCCAAGGCATATCTGCTGAACACCAGACCATTTCTGTCCTTCCCACATTATGCGTTAGAGTCTCCTGCCCCTTTCCCGGGGAACTGGTTAATTAGAACAGACACCCCTAGCCAGTCTTCATCCCCCACCCTGTACTCAACTACATTGATATCTTTCAGAGCAGTGGAGTCCTGCTGTGTGGAAGGCACTGTTTGAGGTGGACCTTCTGTGGAGACCAAGATCAAGGAAAAACAAGCCCCTGCCTCTAGCAGCATAGTATCTACCCCCACATGGTCTCAGAACATGAATGCCCTTGGAGAAAAGTGTTGTGGGAGGCTGGAGGAGGTAGAGAGCAACCAGAAATGGCTTTTTGAGACAGGTGGCATTTGAACTTAACTTTGAAGGACCTGTCAAGCCTAGTAATTTGACTAGAAAGGAACAAAAAGTGATTATCCTATTAGAAACTCATCCTGGTATAGAAAGCATATAGAAAATGAGGCTTCTTTTGGTAGGTTCATTGGAGATTAAAGGCATACTCACTCAGACAAGACCATTCATCTTACTAGGCTTTGTACCTTTGGATGCACTTTCATGGGTTCATTATTTTACTGGCAGGGAACAGCGAGAGCAAGAATTATGGACCAACAGAAATCCTGATAAATATTTAAAGCTAGCAGTTGGGGAAATTTGCAAATGAGCCTTTGTTTTTTGCCCTGGGCTTTTGGCTTCCTTTGGTGGTTGAGAGAGAGTCTTTGTTAGAGAGTATCCTGTAGTCATGTCCTCCTTTAGAAAAAGTTAAGTCCAAAAACATTGACACTGGTAGCAGAGTTGGGATCAGAGCGGGGGCTGCCTAACTCCTCATGCAGTTGCCTCTACTGTTAGGTCCAGGAATGTGGGCAGAGCGGGGGCTCTGCACCAAACCAGTTGTCTGCATCATATTGTAGGGGGGGCCCCTCGTATGGAGAACTGTAGATGCCCGCGAATGCTGAATCAGATAAGCATGCTGTCATGAGACGTTTAAATATGCCGGACAGAAGAGAGTGCAGAATCTAGCAATCAATTCATGCTATTAAAAGAGGAGGGCGGAGGCCCAAAGATGGCACTGTTAATCAAATAAATGACTTGCCTAAATTTAAATGGCAATTTAAGAAAACTTACCATTAGGGACAGTATTTTTCTTAATTTTATCATCTGGAGTCCAAAGGTATCTTTTTAAAATCAGATTTGTCAATGCTCTCAAAGTTATTAAAGTGATGGGAGTATAGACCATAATAAATTCTCATTCTATTTGGGGAATAATTCTCCTATGATTTAATAGGATGAAACTTGGCCTAATTTGAGTTTGAAGATGACCTTCCTTAGTGTCTAGAAACTGAACTTTTGTATCAATTGGCCCCTTAAATCCAAGCCTTTATTTAACTTTGGATCTTGACTCATGAGAATTAGGGAGAGATCATCTGAGTTGGATACATTATAATTCTTGTGATTAGTATAGTTTTTGTCCATTCTGGTCTCCTTGAGGTTCTTTGGGACTTGGATGTGGCTTGTCCTACTGAAAGTAAGCATCTTCATTCAAGGAGAGGATTTTTCCTTGAACTCACTGCCACAGTGATCTCCCCTCGTGACTTTTGGGAAAGGTACACATATTCCCTAGTGTATACATTCATTGCAATAACCACTAATAAGTTTTTATTATGTATGTGGCAAAAATACTGTATGTCCTACTTGTGGCCAAGGTGAGAACCAGAGGTAGATAAATTGTGGTTTTTGGTGGATTTTGTCACCAGGTGCTGTGGGTATTGAAAGGAAGAGCTGCCAGTGTGTGAGTTGTCTGGCTGTCCTAGTCAGCTATGAAGATAATGTTAGTCTTAAAACATTTTACAGCGGAAGCACAATGAAAATTAGTAACTCCATTCTCGGTAATTTTAAAAAATTAAAGAGTTGTCTTGATTTGGCTGCTCAAATATCAGTCTACACTAGACTACATAAGAACGTGAACTCAGTCCCTTTTCACCTTTTTCACCTGAAAGCACTGAATCTTCTAGATTATTTGGGAACTACATCCTTTACAAAAGGGCGTCTCTTGCAAATGATTAGGGCATGCTATCTCTTTTTTCTTCGTATCTTTGTTTCTGCTTTTGACAACTAAGAAAGATAACCAACTTTTTTTAAAAGATTTTATTTATTTATCTGAGGTAGAGAGAGAACTCTCCCTCTGCAGGGATGAGGGGCAGAGGGAGAGGAAGAGGGAGAAGCAGGTTCCATGCTGGGCAGGGAGTCCAACACAGGGCTTGATCCCACAATCCAGGATCATGACCTGAGCTGAAGGCAGACGCTTAACTGACTGAGCCACCCAGGTGCCCCAGATACTGTTTCTTTAAGAGTGACCACTTAAGATCTCAAAAGCCCCTAAGGTTTTACATCTACACTTTGCTGGTTTGTTATATTTATTTATATACCTCTCAGTCAAAAAATATAAAATGAACTAGAGATTTCTAAGTATAATCTTGAGCCAAAAATATATTTCTAAAACTTCCTAAATGATACTATTTGTTGAGCACCTGCAAAGTGCTGAACATCGAGAGCTTTTATCTACATTATTTAGTTTTCGAATAAAAAGTGAAATATTTTCTATGCTGATAGGATTTCTACCAAAGCCTTCCACTGGCTAGATGAAAAATGGGTTGTTTTTGATAAGTTTACTTGAATTTAATTTTAATGATTATTATGATTTCAGTGTATGATTATAGGCTTAAAATTAAATGAGCAGAGACGGCTTCTTACAGAAAATAATAGGGTAAGTGAGTCTTAAAAGAGTCCCAATTTTACAGCCTCATGCAAAAGAGCCTTAGGTTGGAGGCAAGTGATAAAGACTCAGAATTGGGTGGAAACCAAGGATAGAATCTCCAAAGCACAGAAATGTGCCCTAGATCTTTCTTCACCTGACTGCTTCTTCCTATTCTCGTTCTTTTACATGTGGCTCTTTTTCAGTTTGGGACTATTTCATGTAAACAGAAGGGATCTCAAAAGAGCATCTTGCCCAAATCCTTGCCTCCCAGGTAAATCAACCTAGAATTCATCTGGGTCACCTGGGCTTCCTGTGTTGAAAATTTTGTGCCCCATGAACAGGATATTTATTTTCCATGTAGTTAAGCTTTTGACTCACAAGGCTCCCAGTCCAAGGTCACTGACCACGTCTTGATGTAGCAGCTTCAAAGCAGTGCCTTATATTTATAGGGCCGTTTATTCCTCGCAGTTAGATTATAATGACCCAGTCATCATTTTTTTCCTGAATTATTATAATGTGCTAAGTCTTTTGAGGTATGTGGCTACCTATAAGGAACTTACCTTACTAAGAAAATAGTTAACGGGAAACAATGAGCAGACAGCACAAGAGATTTTATTTAATTTCAGCAGAAAAACAAAAATTATCTGGCGTGACCTAGAGTGATTAAGTCTATTATTCTTAGCAAATCTGGCACAGAAGCTCTGAATGTCTTTGGTTCCTGTGTATGCAAGAAGAATATACACCCAGAGTAAACATTTTCATAATGCTGCATTAACCTAATACAGGGATTAGAGTAACAAGATCAACTCATGCATTTTAAGATCGTAACGCTGTACTGAGGATTTTGAACGTGCATTTGTCTGTGTTACTGAAGTGAAACGTTGGGCTGCCCTCACAGAATTTGAGTTGATGTTGATTCTCGTCCTGACCCTCCTGGGTCTATGTTCCTGATAATTGTACGCAGCACCGAGACGAGAGGAACTTAAGTTCCAGGAACGCATTTATGGCTGATCCTGTTGTTCAGGTTTAGTCAGATTGCCAGTGTATTTTAAAGCCAATGTATTCCCAGCAAAAGGGGGATGGGACAGAGGGATCGAATAGAGTGGCTAATTACCAGTTGCTCTCCATTTAACTCAGCCCTTAAAGCCCGTGACACTTTTCCCTTCATCAGGCAAAATTGGAGGGCTTTGTTAATGTGTACAGTATGACTGACTGCTGACTGTTAGAGAGGGATAGAAAATAATGTATACAAAGAAACCCTGAAAAAATACACACTAGGCAACTAATAAAAGTCGCCGGGGTGTATGAGCCCTACGGGAGAAGTGAACTTTCCTAATGTATGCTTATTATGGAACAGACCTCTGCTTTCCATTTCTCAGAGCATATTGTTGAATTAAATAGATGTAAGGCAACTAGCTCAGGGCCCACAGAGACCGTCGATACTCGTTTCTTTTGTTTCTTTGGAATAGTCCTGGTA